AAAAAAAAAAAAAAAAAAAAAAAAAAAAAAAAAAAAAAGTTAGACTCGAACCAATCTGCTACTTTCTAAATGTGATAGCCTCCCATCTGTTTGACCTCCCTTAAATTAAATTACTTAACCTTTAAAATCGTCACTTTTCCTAGCTGTAAAACGGACATACTAGTGCCTAAGGTTAAATGCATAAATCTGAAGGCCAAACTGAGCTGGGTGTTGTGGTGCAAGCCTATAATCCCAGCATTGGGAGGATGAAGCAGGGAGGATTGCTGTGAGTTTGAGGCCAACCTGGGCTAACAGTGAGTTGAAGGCCAGTCTGAACTACAAAGCAAGACTCTGTCTCAAAAACAAAATAAAATAAGGCCAAACTTGATTAGTTCCAAATCCCAGCTCTATTAAATAAGTAGTTACAACTATTGGTTACTTAGTATTTTCATTCTTCAGTTAACCAATCCCTCTGTAAAATGAGAATAATTATTTCATGGAATAGTTTGAAAATTAAATGAGGTGTAAAGTGCTTAGCACACTATGTGACACAAAACCCTCCATAACCGCCAATAAAAGGAATAATAGTCATCACTTGTTACCCTGATCCTTGGAACTGTGAAAGCAGGAAGGATGGAACTTCACAACCCTCTGGGTTTGAAACCAAACAATTGTCCTTGACATTTCGTACTCTGACAGGGATAAGTTGGAGAAGGATAAATCCCCAAAGAAAATAGAATGGCCAGGATGGGCTATTTTGCTAAAACAGAGCTCTCCAGGAAAAAGATGGATCTTGTGTTCTGCCCCCCTCCTCCCTATCACCATGAATATTCTCCTACAGATTCCTCTAGTTCTGAGCCAATTTTAGCCCTTGGTTCTGACATCCAGTTCTTTAGATTTAACCTGCTAGGTGCCAGGCCCTGTGCTAAATGCAGAGTTCAAAGACAGGGCCCCTCCTGCCCTCAGGGAGCTCAGCCTAACACAGCAATGCTTGTCAATCTTGAACGTGCTCCGCCTCACCTGGGAATCTCTTACAATACAAATTCTGGGTCTATAGATCCGAAGTAGACCTGAGATTCTGCATTTCTAACAAGCTCCCAGATCATGCTGATAGAGCCAGGCGGTGAACTGCACTTTGAGTAGCAATATATAGAAGTTTTGTTTTTTCGGGTTTTTTTTTGGGGGGGTTGTTTTGTTTTTGTTTTTCCTGGTACCGGGTATCGGACTCGGGTCCTTAAACTTGTGAGGCAGGCGGCGGCGGCACCATTGAGCTAAATCCCCGGCCTTATAGAAGATTTTTTTTTAATGACTAGACTAGCAAGTGGCTTCAGACTAGAAACAAAGTCCCGGCTAACCGCGTAGGAACTCGAGGTGGTCTCCGCCCCCTTTTTCGCCGAGGTTCCCTCAGGAATCTGACACGTGACGGGCGGACCGTCGGCTGAAAGGAGAGGAGCCCTGTAAACGCCATGGCTCACAAGAAACCGCCCTGCCTTGTCTCCTTGCTGCTGCCGCTCCTCACGCTCCTGCTGCCCCAGGTACGGAGAGCGGGCCGTACTGGCTCGGTGCAGTGAGACGGGAACAGTTCGGGCAGATGAGAGAAAGTCAACCACCAAGCAGCCAGCTGAGCACCTCTGCGGCTCCTGGTGAACGCTGACCCTTCACCACAGACCTCTGCTGAGCACAGGCGCTTTGCTTTGCAGGCAGACGCTCGGTCGTTCGCTGTAGATTGGGAACATGACAGGTTCCTGTTGGACGGAGTCCCGTTCCGCTATGTGTCTGGCAGTCTGCACTACTTTCGGGTCCCGCGGGTGCTTTGGGCGGACCGGCTTTTTAAGATGCGACTGAGCGGCCTCAACGCTGTACAGCTGTAAGAAGTGCTCGCGGGAGCCTTGAAGGGACGGGATTTCCTCCTCCCATCGCCCCCTAGGAAGTGGGTATGGACTGGGAAACTACTTCTGAAAAGGGTTAGAACAGCAGGGCTCCTGGGCCAAGAGTGGGGAAGGGAGAGCCAGAACCCCCTTCCCGCTGCTTCCCGGAGATGCCCTGCAAGCTGCGAGGCACTGGGGTCCCACCCCCGGTTAACCTCTTTCTTTCTCAGTTATGTGCCCTGGAACTACCACGAGCCACAGCCTGGGGTTTATAACTTTAATGGCAGCCGTGATCTCCTTGCCTTTCTGAATGAGGCAGCTGTAGCAAATCTGTTAGTCATACTGAGACCAGGACCTTACATCTGTGCAGAGTGGGAGATGGTGAGTTGGTATGAGAAGGGGCAGAACCAAAGCCTCCCGCGGTGGTTTCTTTCTTGTTACCCTGTACTCCAGGGCCATTTCCTGCATTATACTCAATTCTCTCCCTTCTCAACTCTTCACTGCACTCCCAAAACACCAAAGCCTACATGCTCCTTTGAGATCTTTATGTTTGTTTCAGGGGGGTCTTCCATCCTGGCTGCTTCGAAAACCTAAAATTCATCTGAGAACCTCAGATCCAGGTGGGTTGAGACAAAGGATTTTATATGGAAAAAAAGCACCCATGAAAAAGATGGATCATTTGGGTACTCCAACCAGAAAAGACTATTCTCAGCTTGGAGATCATTCACTGAAATATTTATTATCGTTTCCTTCTTGCCTAGCAGGATGTTAGAAACTGGGACCAGATAGACCTAAGCCTTATAATACAATGGATGAGAAAGTTTAACACACACACACACACACACACACACACACACACACACAAACACACTATAAACGATTTCAAATTGTAGCCAGGTATGGTGGCATACACTTGTGTTCCCAGTACCCTCATAGGCTGAGGTAAGAGGATCTCAAGTTCAAACCAAGCCTAAGTACCTGTCCAAAAAAAAAAAAAAAAAAAAAAAAAAAGGGAGGCACCTGTAATAGCACTCAGGAGTCTGAGGCAGGAAGATTGCTGTGAGTTTGAGACCAGCCTGGGCTGCATAGTGAGTTCAAAGCAAGACCCTGTCACAGGGTGTGGTGTTGCATGCCTGTAATCCCAGCACTCGGGAGGCTGAGGCAGGAGGATCACTGTGAGTTTGAGGCCAACTTGGGTTACATAGTAAGTACCAGGTCAGTCTCAGCTACATAGTGAGACCCTGTTTCAAAAAGCCAAAAACAAGAAACAAAAAACAAAAAAACGAGACCCTTCTATAAATAAATACATTAATTTTAAAAAGAGTGGGGATGTTGCTCAGTATGAAGGTCCTGGATTAAATCCCCAGCCTCCCCCGCCCCCCCGCCGTGTACTACAGCCTGTAAACATAGTATACAAAATATATAAGTAAGGAGCCAAATTAGAGAGAGCCTCTTCATGATAGTGCAGTCATTAAAGGCTTTTCTGAGAAGGTGTCATTTCATAGGACTTTTTTTTTTTTTTTTTTTAAAGACAGGGCCTCACTATGTAGTTGAGATTGACCTGGAACTCACTATGTAGCCCAGGTTGGCCTCGAACTCACAGTGGTTCTCCTGCCTCAGCCTCCCGAGTGCTGGGATTACAGGCATGCGCCACCACGCCTGGCCTCATAGGACTACTAGGGAAGAAAAAGCCATGGTCATATGAAGAGTTAGGCAAGAACATCTCAGCCCAGAGATGGGAAAGGACATGGTAGGATTTAGGAATGTGGACCATTGAGGCTGGATAAGGGAGATAGTAATATGACAACGGAGTTGACAGAGACAATTTGTGCAGGACATTGTATGGGGTTGTAGTTTATGCCAGTTACAGTAGAAAGCCACTGACAATACTTAACCAGAGGTGTGACATAACCTGATTTGTTTTACGTTACTCTAGCCTGGGTGTGAAGAATGGATTGAAGGGTTCAAGGGTAAGAATTGAGATTACTGCAGTTGAGAACAGACATGACAGTGCCTGGAGCAAGGTGATGAGAGTGGAAATGAAAAAGGGGCCAGAATTGAGAAATTTGGAGATTGTAAAAAATCACCACAGGGGCTGGGGATTTGGTTCAGTGGCACCGCCTGACTCCCCTGACTGGCAAGTACAAAGTCCTGAGTTTGATCCCCAGTACCAAAAAAAAATCCTAGGACTTGCTGATAGACTTTGATTGGAAGGTGAGAGGTGGGGTTTTACAAGAATAGAAAGTGTGGGAGAAGAATGAAAGGGATTGTATTTCTGGCCAGTCCACGTGGTGGCCATATTTACTGACCTAGGGTAGAGGACACTAGGGGTACAAATGCTTAAGAGCTTTATGTCCCTTACAGCACTTCCCAACCCTGGCTGACCATGAAACATGACAGTGGTAAAGTATGACTATACTAAGGGCTGATCAAACCTTCAGCTACCTTTTTGGGGGAATGATGAATAAAAAGAAAGAGACAGAAACAATCTTCAAGATATAAAGGGGGGACCAGGAGGAGACCTGCCTCTAGTGGACAGACTCAAATAAAACTCCCTGGTTGGCCTGCTTTCATTAGCCAGTGAGAAGCGCAGGGGGAGGGGCAGCA